GACAACCTCCTTCCCATCCTCGATACACTCACCGGATCTATCGCCGTAATCGCCCACTGCCAGCGTCACTACGGACGTGTCACTGCCAAGAAATCCGACATCTCTAATCCTTCGACAGCTGGCGTCCAAGCACTTGCCGCAAATAGCCAACTCCGCTGCACCAACTGCAGTAAAACGGGCCATGTCGTGGCCAACTGTTTTCAGCCGAACGGTGGAAAGGCCGGCCAGTACCCGGATTGGTGGAAAGGCAAACGTGTCTACGCACCGGGAGCAGCTCCTGTGAAGCGGAGCACACAGGCTCAAGCACCTCCTGTTGCGGCTGTCGCCCATAGCGGCAATACTGCTTTTATTAAAGCTGCCGCTGCAATCACAGAGGCCGACGAGGATGGGATGTGGCTTGACGTTAGCGGTGGATCTGATCAATTCGAGTTCCTGGCGTTGATGGCCAGTGGTGGGGCCGAACCCCCGATCGTTGGCATTCCCGCCGAAAGCCTCACCAAATCCTTCAGTGCTCGTCGAGAGGAGAAACCGTACTTCATCGACTCTGGTGCTAGCGAGCATTTCATCGTTGATCGCGCCGACTTTGTCACATATGAGCCGCTCGCGAACATGACTGGACAGGCGGCTGAAGTTGGTTCCAAATTTCGCATTCTCGGAAAGGGCACCGTCTATAAGAAGGTTTTTGTGGATGGCAAAGCGACCGTATTGGAGCTTACTGCATATCACACTCCGGACTTCGCCGCTAATCTCATATCTGTCAGTCGCCTGACATCCAAAGGTTGCACCGTCGTCTTCAAGGATAATCGTGTTTCATTCACTTCTCCCACCGGCAACGAGTTCATGGTCGGTTCGCTCAACAATGGAACGTATGTCATCCCCATGGAACATTCCCCACTCGCCTTCTTCTCACGTTCCCGCTCCCAGAACCGTCCTGCCGACCTTGCAACTTGGCACGGGAGATTGGCACACGTGGGAGATGGTCGAATAAAGTCAATGAAGGGAATGGTGGACGGGCTTGATATCACGTCGGTGGATACTCCGGGACCTTGTGAAGACTGTATTTATGGAAAACACGCGCGTCGTCCGTTTGACGAAATTGTTTCGCACGAAACGGAGGTCTTGGAACGGATTCATATTGATCTGTGGGGCAAAGCACGTACACGGTCTTCTGGCGGCAAATTTTACATGATGCTGCTTACCGATGGCAAGTCCGGATGCAAGGATGTTTACTTCCTATCCAACAAGCAATCAGCAACGACGTTGGAAGCGTTCAAGCAATGCGTAGCGAAAGTAGAACGCCAAACCGGGAAGAAAGTCCGAATTGTGCGAGTTGACGGTGGCGGGGAATTTTTGGCGGACTGGGTGGACTACTGCTCTTCAGTTGGGATTGTTATTGAAACCACCCCACCATACTCATCGTCTGCGAATGGTGTTGCCGAACGCGGCATTCGTACCGTCATCGGGCAGACACGGTCGATGATGAAGGCTGCCGATTTACCTCCCAAGTATTGGTGCGACGTTGCTGCCGCCGCTGTCGAGATCGGGAACTATGTCCCAATCACCCGGAACCCAGGTATCACGCCGTTCGAGGAGTTCTCCAAACATAAACCCGATATTTCACATTTGCGCGTATTCGGGTGTACCGCCTACATGAAAATCCCAACGAAGAGTGCAGCGTGGGGCGGGAAACTTGCGTATCAGTCGCTTGAGACGCAGCTCATTGGCTATTTCGGACGCGGCGCTTACAAACTGCTCGATAGAAGGACCGGGAAGATCTACAAATCCCGGGATGTCGTATTCGAAGAGGGCACACCACATCGGACGAAACTGATAATACCGAATCGGGGAGCCAAAGGCTTCAATGCTGAAGATACCTTTGACTATCCTGAGGATGATGTTTCAGCCCCAGATGTCGAAGGAACTGGAGATGATGACGCACCTGCTTTCCCGGGAGTCCCTTTACCACCAGCTGTTCCACCTGTTCTACCAGTTGTTCCACTCTTTCCACCAGCCCTTCCTCATGCACCCGCAGTTCCTCCGGGGTCCGCGCCGCAGGACCCTAGACGAAGAGCTACCGTCGAGGAAGTTCCTGACCAGGATGATCGACAAGCTCACCTGAATGCACCCGCTCCTGCCGTTATCGCAGTCCAACCTCCTGATCCTTCACGTCGTTCTACGCGCCCACGAAAGCAGACAGCTGCGATGAAGGATTCGATGGCGAGTGAATCACGCATCGAGCAAGCAGCGGCAGAGCCGGGAAACGCGTGGGCTAATGACGAAGTGTCTGCAGCTGAGGATAAGGGCTTGCCCGCTGCGGCTGCTGGGTTTCTTGCTGAGATCCACCCAGACGATCTCTGGATACCGCGCTCGTACAAGGAGGCGATGACGCGGCCGGACTTGTGGGCGGATGCGATCCAGGTCGAGAGCGACCGTCTGCGCGCACGGAAAGTGTGGCACTTGGTAACGCGACCCGAGGGAGCGAACATAATGAAGACTATGTGGGTTTTCGATATTAAATTCGACGAGAACGGGAAAATTATCAAAAGAAAAGCTCGCCTCGTCGCCAAAGGCTACACTCAGATACCCGGTCTTGACTTCTTCGATACCTACGCGTCGGTCGTTCGCTACGAGTCGCTCCGGATGACGCTTGCAATTGCCGCCTCGAAGGGGTGGAAAACCTGGGCCATTGACTTTGTCAGTGCATATCTAAACAGCAAGATGAAGGAGCAGGTTACATGGCTCAGCCCGAGGGAATGGTGGTTGAGGGGAGCGAAGAGCTCATTTGCCAGCTCGACTTCACCCTGTATGGGACGATGCAGGGTGCCAGCAATTGGTGGGCAGAGCTTGACGGCACTTACAACGACCTAGGTTACCGCCGATCCCGCGCGGACGAGTCCGTGCGAGTTCGTCTCGGGGAGGATGGTCAGCCTACCACCATTACCAGCACCTACACAGACGACGTTACCGGAATTTCCACGTCGGATGAGGAGGCAGCGAAGGCGAAGAGCGAGCTCGGACAACGGTACGATATGACCGATGCCGGCGGACTTACTCGGGTCATCGGCATCAAAGTCGATCACGATGCCGAATCTGGCTCAATCTCCATCTCCCAACCCGCGTACTGCGAACGCTTGCTCAAACGCTATGGTTTCAATAATTGCCACCTCAAGCGAACACCTTTATCTCCTGGAGTCAGCCTAACAAAATCCCCATTCCCTCTTACGCTCGAAGACCAGACTTTTATGTCCGACAAGCCGTACCGCTCTATTCTTGGTGGCCTAATGTTCCTCATGATTGCGACGCGTCCCGACCTCGGGTTTGCTGTCAATATCCTCAGCAGCTTTGCATCGAATCCAGGCCCCTCTCACTGGAACGAGATGGTCCATGTGCTCGGTTATGTTCGCAGCACGATGGACTACAAAATCACATACCACCGCGGAGCCAGCCTGACACCTGTCGGCTATGTCGATGCTGACTACGGCGGCTTCACTGACACCATGCGCTCGACATCAGGGGAGCTGTATCTGATGGCTGGCGGACTCGTAGCCTGGGGCGCACACCGCGAGCATGTCGTAGCTCTCTCGACGGCAGAATCCGAGTACATGGCTGCAGCGCGTGGCGCCCGTCAAATGGAATGGATGTATAATTTCATGGATGAGGTAAAACTGCCGCAGCCGCGTCCTGCTTTACTCCGCTGTGACAACACCGCCGCCATTGCCATTGCTGAATCTACCAAAGGGCACAAGCGTGGCAAGCACATCGCTCTCCGACACCACTACATCCGCGAGCGCATCCGCGAGGGCGACCTGGAAGTTCGGCACATTCCTTCAAAGGATAATATCGCAGATATGATGACGAAACCTCTTCCTTACCCGCGCCACGCAGAACTCATTGGGATGATGGGTATGGCTACTGCGACGTCCTGGCTCAGGGGAGCTACTGCTACTTTCACTTCCCTGTTTTCTTGGTCTCTACTGCGTCGAGGGGAGTGATGGAGTTACGCCGCACCAGAGACCCCGTGCGGTACAATAATCTTTTCATCTTTCTTCTTTTGATATATCCGGTACTGATATACCTCGTACCAGCGACGATACCTCCTCAGTCTTCTACCCTACGGTGACTGAGGAGGTACGTCTCATTCATGCTCTGTTTTACCTTTACTTATTGTACCTTAGTTATTTGTTTATTAGGTATTCAATATACTAGTCTTCTACCCTACGGTGACTGAGGAGTTATTTGTTTATTATAAATGTCATGCTGACGTACATTCAATGCGCGGAGGAAGTGTGCTACCGCATGGTCAGTTGACAAGCCCAAAATATCTCGCGAAGGGGCTTCCAAAACATCTCTTGACAGAAATGGGGTGAGATCCGCCGGACACAGACTGTTATCTCGACGTCACCAATGGACAATTTTACCACTCAGGCTGAACGAGAGCGACCAGATGCTGTGTAGGAAACAGAAGAATAAGACTTTTACCGGTATAGAGCGGCTGGCAAAACCCGTACTCGCCCAACTTGAAAAAAGATTTTCAACCAGAAAGCACAGCCTTCGTGATTCCATCGTCACATCACATGAAGTTCCACGCTGTGACACGACGCGCTTTTGCGGGCAAACCTGACACCCAAAACGACTGTGGTCCACTCGGCAGCACCACCGGCCGTAGAATATCTTGAACATACCACGTCAGATTACTTTCCGATTTCCCCAAGGCCCAGTAGTGTCCTCAAAACTTAAAAGCCGCTCGTGATTTATCTTACATCAAAGGCAACGCGCGGAAGTACATAAAAGGCCATCTGTGCGGTTCGGGGTCCAAAAATAAAATTCAACTGGGAAGACTTACCACCGAGACTGGAATCGAACCAGGAACCCCCTCCGATATATGGACTGGGCTTGAGATTAGTACTTGAGGGTGCAATGTGGTCCTCCATACGCGTAGCATTTATCATCTGGCCTGCCGAAATAGCTCCAGAAATGAGAGATGAGTTGCAGGGAAAGTAGACCTAGTGGCGGAAGGTATCGCGCCTGCATAAATTGAAAAAATGATGAAGTGCAGCAGGCACTGGCACTCCTGGTTCGACTCCAGGCTAGGTCGTACGTCAGGGAGACCCACGTTTTTATGACCTGGCCTTCAAAAGTTGTATATAGCGAGGAAAAGCACCTTGTGGCGGAAGGCATCGCACCTTCACTGTGTATGGGTGGACATAAAGTCATCACATGAGGGAGATCCTGGTTTCGGATCCAGGCTATATCGTACATGGCGGTCGAAAGTTATAATTTTTTTTTCGTGTCGCCTGCTACATGAGAGGTGATCTCCATATGAAAAAGACCTAGTGGCGGAGGATCTCACCTGTTTCCAATGGAAAGACACAAATGATCCAGCAGACATTACTGATTCGAATCCAGGCTAGGTCGTGCTGAATCGCGTGTGGGATTTTTTAATCATCCCACGCTCCATATCTGAGGGCGAATTCAATGGTACCGGGCTGAGTCGTATCTCAGCCGGACAGCGCTTTGGATCTCACCGCCACAGAAAATCGTACCAAGCTTGCTTATTATCTTTTTCATGACTATCGGCTCGCACAAAAATCGGCATGTACAAGGGGTGAGTTTCATGGGAAAGAGACCTCGTGGCGGAAGGCCGCACCTGTAAACCGTGGTATCCGTTGACATGTAGCAGGCATTCGGAAGCCGCGTTCCGAGTTCGAATTCAGGCTAGGTCATTCTGGAGGGACGGGTGTCAAGCATTTTTATCATCTCGCTTGCAGAAAGCACTGTATGTATGAGGGATGAGTTCTGTAGGAAAGAGATCTCGTTGCGGAAGGTGTCGCGCATGCATCTAGTGCCAGTCTAGCTGCCCACGTTTTCCGGCCGGTATTCCTGGTTCGAATCCAGACTAGGTCGCCAACAGGTCCTAGAGACGTTTTTGGATCCCGCCTGCAAAATGTGGATACATGAGGCTCAATGTGGTTCAATTTTTGGGGTGATGATCGATTATTCGGACAGGATCCTGGTTCGCGTCCAGATGCCAGGATGTTCGGGCTGCACAGAGTTTTTTTCATCTTGACGGGAGAAAAACTGCAGATGTGAGGGGTGACTCCCATACCAACGCGCAGTTGACCCAAATCTAATACTACTAAGTGCATCTCCCGTCGATTCACAAAGCGGTGGCAGTGACGCCATTGCCGAGATGCCGTCCATGCGGAGCCGAAAGTCGGATCTCAAATCATCTCGCTTGTCTCCAATCACCATCACTGGACCAAGACCAGGTCACCATGTCTCAATATCGATTCGACTCGTTTCCCAAACCTAACGCTTCTTTTTCAACAGTTTACATATGATCAATCTGATCGCTACGGGCTCGTGGCACTGGCCCGATCGCACATGTCGCGGAAGGCAAGCGGATGCAAATTTTCTCCTGACGCATGAAGATTCCGCGGGGCGACTCAGTTGCCCCTAACACTTTGTTCTTCTTTACCACCACGTTGACCGTGGCCTTTGCTCTCTACTTGCTCTCCTGCTGTCCTTTTGCTTTGTCTCTTATCTTCTTTTGCTTTCATATCTTCATTCATGCCTGCTTCCAACAATCTCCCTGATTTCACCGGCCATCTCGTCGACGATGGTCGCCTCCGTCTCCTAGAGGTCCTCGGCGCCGGGTCCTACGGCGTCGTTTACAAAGCGCTGGACGCTTCATCACCTCCGGAGGCCCCCATTTACTACGCAGTCAAATGCCTCGGGGCAGGTTCTCGCTACGACAAGCGCGAGATCGACCTGCACAGCGCATGCTCCCCCCATCCATCCATCATCACCCTGCACCGCCAGTTCTACACGCGGGGATTCCTCTGCGTCGTCCTCGAGCTCGCCGACGGCGACCTTTGGGCGCCCATCGAGGCCGGGGTGTTCACCGACAACAACGCCCTCGTCAAGCAGACTTTCCTCCAGCTGCTTGATGCCGTCCGCTACTGCCACCAGCGCGGCATCCACCACCGCGACCTGAAGCCCGAGAACATTCTCTGCACCGCGGATGGTACAGATATCCGAATCGCCGACTTTGGGCTTGCCGTCGACGACGAGCTGCCATCCACGATCGCGGCAGGAACGACTTCCTACATGTCCCCCGAGTCCCTTACTCTCAGGCGTGGCACGGAGACGTACGAGGCGTATCAGAGCGACGTCTGGGCCCTCTGCATTGTTCTCCTTAACATCATATCCGGCGCCTTTCCCTGGTTCAAAGCCGGCGGCTCCGACCCCGGCTGGTATTCGTTCCTCGCTACCCCAGACTACCTCAGCCGCAATTGCCCAATATCGGACGAGCTACACGGCCTCCTCCGCCGGTGCTTCGACCCCTTCCCCTCGAAGCGCCCCTCGCTCTTCGAGCTCCGCTGCGAGATCGCGCGGATGAAGAATCTCTTCAGGGTCGCGCCACCGCCCGGCTCAGCCCCTGCGCTGCTCGTCGTCCCCCACGCCCTCGGGCCCGCGTCAGCGCCCTCCACAGCCGGCGCGTCATTCGATTTCAACCCCTCGGATTACCCCTCCCCAGCCATCTCCGACGCCACCTCCACATTCATCGACCTCAACCCCGTCCGCGCCTTCTCCTGCGCCATTTCCCTCTCCGCGGACCAGCCCACCGAAATGTCCGCCATCGACATCCCCGCTGAGCTCGCGCACCTCCCGCTCCCGACGCTCGAGATGCTTGCCCGCCTGCGCGCACGCCCGCCGCCGCTCGCATGGCCCTCCATCGACCTCGCGCGTAAATACCCTCCCGCCGCGCCTGTGCCCGCTGCCACGAAGCCGTCGCGCAACCCGCTCAAGCGGCTCCGCCGCTGGTTTAAGCAGCGG